TTCCATTTCATTCACCTCTACCGAGATGAAGCTTATTCTACTATCAAGACCAGTATCAAACAGGTATTGAATCTGTGTTTGTTGAACAGGTGATGTGGTTGCACTCAACAATGCATCCATCCCTTCCCATCCACCCATCCATACCATTCATGTATGCTTGCACACGTTTTACTTCTTTTTTCATTCCATCCTCCCATAGATTTCATCCCATCCATCTACCCATTCATTCTATCCCATCCTCCCATTCATTCCATCCCAACCAGTCATTCCATCCCATCCACCTGCATTCATTCCATCCAATCCACCCATTCATTCTATCCAATCCACCCATTCATTCCATCCAATCCACCCATTCATTCCATCCAATCCACCCATTCATTCCATCCAATCCACCCATTCATTCCATCCCATCACCCTTTCATTCTATCCCATTCACCCTTTCTTTCCATATTACCTACCCATTTATTCATTATTGCACATCTTTTACTTATTATTCCTTCTATTCCATCCTATTTCATTCTTGCATTCATTCCATCCCATCCTATTTTAATTATGGAGAGAATAAGAGAAAAATATCAATGCCCTTGGCAGGATTCGAACCCACGTCTTCGGTATTCTAGTCCGATGTGTTAACCACTACACTACAAGGACCAACCACGCTATATATATTTTAATTATACTCGTACTCTTTTTATTCCATCCATTTCTCTTCTATCCCATCCTCTCATTCATCCCATCCATTTTTATTTGTGCTTGCACACCTTTTACCTTTTATTCCACCAATTCCACTTTATCCCATCCACCTAGATTCGTCCCATTAATTCATGCTTGTATTCTTTTTACTCTTCAGTCCATCTATTACATCCCATCCATTACATTCCATCCATCTTTCTATTCATTTATTCTTAGTCAACCTAATTTTTCATTCCAAACTCATTTTTATACAAAATTTTTCTCAATATGTAATCTCTTGGATGGAATAATAATTAAATGATGATGATGATAATGATGATGATTTTCTTCCCAGACTGTTCAAAGTGTCGTAGCAAGCCTCAAAACTGGCAATGAGGAGGAAAGGTAAAAAAAAAAAAGAATTAGGGGCAAAGTCGAAAACATGGTCCAAAATAAGACCCAGCTTTATTGATTTAGGTGGTGTTTTCCCACTTCACACTACGTATCATTCCCTAGAGTATTATTCCTTTGCTTAACAGTTCTGCTTCCCTGCTAGCAGAGTCTCTCTTCTCTTTCTCTTGCATGAGAAATCATATGAATATGGATGCAACTCAAACAAAGTATCATATTTTCAAGAGAATGACACATGGTCTGTGATATAATTGATAGCAATAACTGAATAATTGTGTTTTGTAGCCAAAGCCTGAATGAAACTATGAGGGGACTAGACTACGAGCAGTGGCTGCGAATGCTGAAAGAAGTTTTTCATGCTTCACTAGATATCTTACACAAAATGAAGGTAAGGAACTGGGGAAACAAATATTTTTCATGCTTATAACTTTCCAACTAAAATATATGATGTTCAATGAAAGGCAAGCACTGCCCAACATTCTTTAATTATCTTATGTACTAAACATTCTTTGCCCTCTTTTTTTTCCAGATATTACATAAAAGCATTGTCAGTGTTCTGGCTATTGCTGCTGGGAACTCTCAGTTGAAGTCTTCTGATGACCCAGATGATTATATAACAGAAAATATCCGAGAGGAGGCTGAAAATTTACAGCTAACTTGGTGAGTTGACAGTACTTACAGTAAGTAGGTAAATGATATTGAAGGATTCGCCAGGTTTGC